GATTAAAAAAATTTTTTTAGATTCATCTTTTCTCTGTACATTTTGGTTTGGATGGGTTCTATTGCCATGCCTTTAAGTCATTACTTTTTTCTTCTTTAATGTCTAATCTGTCCTCAATCCCATCTGATGTATTCTTATCTCTAGAAGTTCTGTTTGTCTTTTTTTTTTCCTTTTCTTATATTCCACATCTTTACTTAATTGTTACACATATGGAATGCAGTTATAATGTCTTCTCTGAGAATTCTTAGATCTGTGTCAATTCTAGGTAGATTTCACTTAATTGATTATTTCCCTCATTATGGGTTATGTTTTCTTGACTCTTTATGCTTAGTAATGATTAGATGCCAGATATTGTGAATTTTTCCTTGGTGATGCTAGATATCTGTATTCTTATAGATCTTGAGCCTTGCTCTGGGATGCAGTTGAGTTACATGGAAACAGTTTGATCCTTTTGGGTCTCATTTTTATGACTTCTTACATGGGTCCAAAGAAATGCTCGGTCTAATTCTCCATTACTGAAACAAAACCCTCCCAAATACTCTACCCAGTGTGGCTGGTGGGAACCACCCTGGATGAGAGCCCGGCTCCGTTCCTTCCAATCTTTTCCAGTGGTGCCTCCCTGGCCTTGGGAATGTTCTTCATCAGCATGACCTCCAGGGACCTCCATGTAGGTTTCTTCTCTCCAGTAACTCTGTCCTTTGAACGAACTGCCTTGTCTCCCAAGACTCTTGTCTGCATCTGCTCGACTCAGACATCTGCTGGGCTCCCCTTGTGTTCACCTGCCTGCATTGCTGCCTGGGACTCTCAAGCCAATACACCGGGGCAACTGCAGGGCTCCATTCCTCTGTTCACCACCTTGCAGGAATCACTGCCCTCTGCTGTGTGCTCTCCAGTGTGTTGAAAGTCACTTTCATATCTTCTGTGTGGTTCTGTGATCATTGAGGTAAGGGGGGCGTTGTTTCAGGTAGAAAGATAAATCCAATTCCTGTTACATCATCTTGGCCCAAAACAAAAGTACAACCATTGCTTTCGTGAAGGTCTTTGCTGAGTGTTTAATCTATTTTACACACATGGCTAATTAAATTCCTTTAAATATTTTCAATTGCATTTATAAAATTAATACACTGTGTTTCCTATTTAAGGACTTCAATTGTCTGATTAATAAACAGAGCCTTTCCAAGTACTTAAGAAATTCCATAAATCTAATAAATTAAATGTATATTTTTAAAAACTTCCCAAGAATGTATGTAATTCAACGAGTCTAATAAATTAAGCATATAAGTGTGGTGAAACTTAAATTCTCTTAAATGTTTTTTTTTTTTTTTGTCTTTTGTCTTTTTCTGTGTCCGGCAACGGATTGCAACCCTCAGTGTTGCCCCCGCACCGGACTGGGGACCGGCAATGGGACCGCAACCCTCGGTGTCGCTC